GATCCAGCCACGTCCTCTCCCCTGGGCTTGCAGGCGCTCCCTCTCGCCCCGGCTAGGCCTCCGCGGGCTCCGAAATGTCCTGGGCTGGGGCGGACCCCACTCTTCTGGGACCGGGACATAGCCTGGGTCACCCCTGGCTTCGGGGATTCCTTTCCAACAAGGCTGGGCATGGGAGAGTTGGAAAACAAGAAAGAACCCCCTGCCTTCAGCGCAGGAGCCCCGGCTACCAGAACCACCGGATTGCGGCAGGAGTGACGACCCAGCCAACTGTGCCTCCTGCGCCTTCCTGTGGCCGCGGCTGTGCCGCGACCGGCCCTGACCGTGGAGGCTGCTGTGGCGCGGAGGACTTGACCTTTACTGCGCAAGAGGAGGGCGTTCTCTAAGCCGCGGGGAGGGGGACGCTGCTCTCTCCAGCCTCTTCCACCCAATAGCAGCCGGGACAACCCACGCATGCTGCGCCGCTCACCCCCATTGCCCCCTCCATTTTATGCAGCGTCTGCGGGCCCGAGACGGAAAACAAAGCCCCCAGCACTGCTCTCACCACCTTTTTTGCGAGCTCCTGTCCCCATTCCCCACAGGCCAGAAGGCTCAGAGCTAAAGCCAAGCGGTCTAAGGCCCTCTCCAGAGCCCTTCTCTCGCCTGACCCCAGCTGCCCTCAGCCAGCGGCTGGGTACTACTCTGGGTACTACGCTTGGCACCTGCCGGTGCCAAGTTCTCGTGCGCGGGGTCCTGGCCTCGGCTGCGGGCGGCGCTGGGCTTATGGCCCGGCCTAGCCGAGCGCCGCACAGGCGCGGGGCGCAGCGAGGGCCAAGGCTGCCTCCCCGCGCGGGCGGAGAACGCGGCTGCCCGGAGCGCCCGGATTCGGCTTCTCGGGTCCACAACGTGGCCCTGTGTGCCCGGCTCTCTCTCCGCTCGCTCGGATCTCGATCTCATCCCAGCCCGCAGCTCCGAGCTCAGAAAGCGGAAGTATTTGGTAGAGAAAAACACGATTTCTTTTCAGCCCGTCTCAAAACCCCTTTTAGAGAAAATGCTCCTGTCAAGTTTTATTTCCCGTTGCAAACCACCTTCCACGCTGCCAAGAATTAAGACCGGGAGAGATTAAATACCCGATTATTCTCTTGACGAGGGAGGGAGGGGGCGGAGAAGGGGGCACCCGAACAAAACATTTGTTTGAATCGGCTTCTCCTCGGCAAATAGCGGCCGGAGAGCCCCGCGAAGGCCCGCTCGGCCCGCGGTGACGTCAACCTGCTGCGGGAGACTCACCCGCAAGGTCCCCGGCCCGGCCCTCGGGGTTCCGCTGCCTGAACCTCCGCCTACCCTCCTGCCACATGCCCCCCACCGGCCCGCGAACCGTCCGAGCGAGGCCGGCTCTGTGCGGGTGTGAGCCTCCACGTTGAGTAGGGGGGTTCCTGTAGAAGCGTGGAGGGTTTGGGGCCGCGCCTCTGTCCCCGAGGGCCGCGACGTCAGCCGGCTCTCTGAGTCCACAGCCGCGCTTCTCCCACTCATCCACACCCCGCACCTGGAGGAGGCCCCGCGCTGCCGCAGAAGCGCCCGAAAAGGTCTAAAAATCTCTTGAGACGCCGTCGTGATTATTTCTGCCGGGTAGATCCAGCTCTTCAGCGGCGCCAAAGCCGGGCAGAAATGAAATCAACTGTGGCAAGGCCTTGGCTGCTTTCAGGAAGGAAATTTTCTGCGCCACTGTCTTTTTTGCTTCCCTTTAAAATATAATTTAAAAATAACAAGCACCTCTCAGGAACTAGGTAGATGCGCAAGATTGAGTGGATATTTTCATAAAGAATGAAGCCGGTTGTTATTTACCCGGCCGCCGAGCAGATGAAAACTTAATTAGCGTTAGCGTGTCTGTCCTAAAATCTACACATAAATTTCCCCAGGCCTTTTGGATAATACTACATCTTTGCTTATGAAAAATGGGATGCGAGCAACTCGATGCACATTTCTCTGATTCTCCGGGTCTTGGTCTGACACCCATTCAATCAAGTTTAAAGGAATGCGCGTAAATCAGCAAGCCCCTAGCGTCATCTCAGCAGAGGTCCGCAAATCCCGAAGGGCGCCTCTGAACCCACCGGGTCTGGGGATTAGCAGTCCCGGGCAACCTCGGTCTCCGCTCCTAAACTCAGAAATTCCCAGAAGGGAAACACGGCCGCGCATCTTCACTAAACCCTCTAAATACAAACAGCAAAGTGCAATCTTCACGTTTATATCTTATACACCGAAATCTGTGCCGATAACTACCTGCACACAAATACCCTCAGCTCAATTTCGCTGCCTTGTGGTGAATTTTTAAGAAAACATTTCAATTAGGCTGGATTTTTCAAGTGAATTCTTCCCCCTTTTCTTTAAAAAATTTTCCTTTCCTTTTCTGTAAAAAAAATAAAAATAAAAGAATTTAAATGGGTGGTGTCAGCTCCGTATCAGGCATAAATAGTAGTGAAATGTACAGTGACATTTTACAATCATCCACTTAAAATAACTTAATAAATTTGACAGTACCAACAGCAGAAGAGAGAAGTAGGTTGTTTTTTTTTAAGTCCCATATTTACAATTTTTTATTCAGCAAGTTTCCTTTGTGGAAAAAGAAATATTTGAATCAGGTTTTCAACAACACTATCCACGGATACAATGTCTGATTGAAAAATATTCCTATTTTTCAAGAGGTGGCTGGTGTCCTGGATATCTCTTTTCTAAAGGTTCTAGACTGATTGCTATCTGGGCATTAGGGAGCCATCATAATCCATGCCCACCTCAAGTTATCTGGTAGATTCATGGACATTTTAAATAAGAAAGAGTTTAGCCAAGATTGACACTATCAACAACTATTTTAGAACTGGAGGGAAAAAAAACCCTAAAGTATCTTGTCATTACAGTTTCAAAAACTGGAGAGAGAAAAAAAGAAGGTTACTACTTTACCCAGGGTTCCTGCAGTGGTGCTGGCTTTCGATAGGGGTGGTATTCCGGCATAGCTGCTGTTGGCCTCCTTCCTAGGCCTGAGGCTCAGAATATTTCTTACATCTAAAGAAAAATATCCCCCGTCAACAGAAGAGTCCCCTTTGGAGCTGTTCTTAAACACATAGTTTGATCCAGTTTTCAGAGGATTTTCCACCACTTTAACCATTTTGGGAGAAAGTTGTTACTTTGGCTTGATGGCAGCTTATTTAGAAATGGAGTGCCGTGGAACAACATGTGGGGAGGTGGGTCTGAAGCAGCATTTTCATTTGTTTCCACAAGTGGATCGAAAATCCTCAGGACAGCAAAGTGTGATTGTACTTCACAAGACCATTCGACATGTGTTTCAAGACCAGCCTGTTTTTGAGACAGCTTTAGAGATTCTTTCCATAATTCTCCATCTATAAAGAAGCTCTAAGTCTTCAGGTGGGGTTCCATCGGCCAGATTTGTAACCAACCAATATTATTTTCCATAAAATGATGGCTCTGGTTCTTCCATTCACTATTACTTTCCTCTAACATAAAGTTAACCTGCACCTCAAAATTCTGCATCCCAAGGCTACTGGTTCCACCAACATTTTAATACATCTGTGTATAGCATGGATTTGACAAAAACACATTACCCTATGTGTATATTAAATATATAAACATATGTACTCTTTATGAGTCTGTATACAGCACCTGATATGTTATTAGGGGTCAACAGTAGATATAATATTATTATAGTTTTTATGGTGGTTGTTAATATTAAACATTTATTTCTCCCACAAATCAAATGGCAGATTCACAAGCATCAGTATAAGATTGCACACCACCCTGGAGCAGCCCTCAGCTCTGAGCTATCCGGAATAACTTTCCTTCTGCATCCATATTATGGTCATTTTGTAGATAGGAGATATTTAAGTTCTCCTTACTGACCTCTAAAGAGGTGGGTTTCTTTGAATTTCTGAAATGTAACTCTAGAACTCTAGAGTTAGCAAGGTTCTGAAACTTTTTATTTGCTGTAAAGACTCCCCGATAGCTCTAATTAGGGTGGTAGACCACCTTGGAGGGTGAAAGCCAGGAAAGAATAGCTATTTAAGAACACCTTTTAGACTGTAGACCGTAACAAAAACGTACAGCTTTAAAGCAGATCGGTAGAAATCTGATGCAGAGTAAGCCACTGTGAACACAAATCAAAATTGGCCACTAAAGGAAAGGAGTGAAGCTTCATCATGTAAAGTACATTTTGTACCTCAACTCTAGAAATCACCTTAAATTACAATATCTTGGGTCATCAGCCATTAATGGTATATCTGTACAGATTCTACAAATATATATACAAGCACACACAAGCACTAATATGCAAATGTATACATGTATACAAATATGATATATATTCACATATATACAGGCACATGTATAATTTACATATATTCAAATTTGCTCTATCTGGAGCCAAAGAAATTAGTATTAAATCTGTAAAATAAGTCAAGGAGGTAAGAGCTCTTGATTCCCATGAAGAATTACAAAGAGGCTTGTCAACGCGAGGTGGCGCCCTTGATCTACTAATCCAGCCCAGGCCAATTCATGAGCTGTCAAAAGTCAAGGTCACAAATTGTCTTTTTTCGTCAAGGTCAAGGTTTAAGGCCTTTCGTAGTCCTGTCATTTCAACAAATATCAAAACCTGCCTGCTCAGACACATGCAGACCCAACAGCAGATTTTAAAATACAGCAGCCTAGGCATTGCTGATACAAAACAACTGGTTTTCATTTTCCACAGGGAGCCTGGGAATTTATACTATCTCTTCCTCCTTTCTTTTTTCTCCCTTTCAGAATGTCTGACACTTTAATCTCCTTGAAGCCCTTATCATTTAAAGGATTTCAGTTATGAGGGATTTCTCCCTTTAATTAAAATTTTTGTACCAAAAAAAAAAAAAAAAGCTGTAATAGAAAAGAATGGTCCTTGGTTTATATAAGACAAACCTGCTCTTTTTCTTTCCGTGCAGTGCATGTTTAGCATAGGAAAGTAATGAGTATTTTCTTCAGATTTTAATGGCTGTGACTATTTTATTAACAGAATTAATACCAATATCACTATCTACAGGTTTAAGTTTTTTTTCATTTTTAGTAGAAATATTTTAAAAGTAGGTGCACAAATACATTTTCACAGTGTGCTGAATGTCTTTATTTACAAGATATTTTATAGTGAATAGGAACAAAACGAATGTGCTGGTTGAAATAACTGCTTGATTAAAAATGTGCTGAGAAGTGAATCCCTAATCTTTCTAATGCAGTCTGATAACACAATAAACAAGGAAAAATACTAATCCCTTAATAGATCAAAATAAAGAATGTCGATATCTAAATGTTTCGAGGAAATAGATGTTCATGGAGTTTTATAAAAAATAAGAATGGAAAATGATTTCTCCAGTAAAATTGGTTAGCAAATGTTGGGAAATGACAATTTAAATGAAAAAAAAAAGAATTGTGTTTAAACCAAAGTCCACGTTGAGGTGGGACCCCCTGGGAGATCTGACATAATATGAGTCCTGTGGATCATGTGATGATTTAAACATTTGTAAAAAAGATACCAAATCCTCTGGAAAATAACTGATATGGGGCAGTAAATATAGTCCAAATGCCACAAAATATGCTTGTTATAAGCAATTAAAAATTATTCTCAGAAGGACATTAACAACCCCTGGTTCCCTTGTAGCCTCAAAGGTTCAGATGTTTGTTTTTACTACCAAGACAAATGATCCTCGGAAGAGCTTTCTCTCCCTTTCTTCCTTCATAGCAAATAGTCCAAAATCATTATTTCAGTACCTTCTCTTTTCCCCTCTAAATCTATACATAAAACATTTTGCAGGACATACAACAATGGTAGGAATTTCACTAAGATTTACCTGAGCAGGCACTTAACATGCAAAGGGAATGGCAACCTAAGGACAAGCAGATGTTTACAACCGCCTCTTGCTTTTGTAACCAACCTTTAGGTTATTACCACCTAACACAGTGTCCTAAAATATAACAGTCACATAAATACTTACAAGATTTCAGTAACTGCATAAGTTATCTGAAATTGCGTATTTGGGGGCTGACGTTTGACTAGAGTTTGTCACTTAACGGGCTGGTGGGGCTGGCGGGAGTGTTGGCAGTCTTTACCGTTTCATAAAGTTTTAAAGCAGTTGTAGATTCCACTAAAGAGAAAGAGATCTCCCCTAGGAGAGCAAAATGTCGATAACTCTCTTTATCTTTTCCATTCTTCAATTATTATTAAACATTATTGTAATCTGAGCAAAGCAACGAGTTCTGAAGCATTTCTTCAAGTTGACTTCTTGCTCCATTTTTTAATCCATTAACTAGTGGTCTTCAGTTTGTTGATGACTTTTTTCTCTTTAACCCTCCTATTTTGGAACCAGATTGTGACCTGCCGCTCGGAGAGGTTCGTGGTGGCTGATATTCTCCTCCGTTTGTCCTTGGTAATAAATTTGTTCGTGGCGTATTCCCGTTCCAGTTCTTTTAATTGCACCTTGGTGTAAGGCACGCGCTTCTTTCTCCCCCTCCTATAGGAGCTGGCATCCGAGGGATGGGAGACCACGTCTGGAAGATAGGGGAGAAGGCAAGTTACTCAGGGATCAAACCCCAGCCAGTACATAGGCGACAGCTCAATCTGAGCCACCCGCCTCGCAGCGCCCGGCTGCTCTTTGCCACGCACTGTACAATCCGGCCTTCTGCCAAAGCCTGGAGGGTCAGTGGGGAAGGGGGTTAGTTCTGCACTGAAATGAAATCGCCCAGGGCTCCAGTGACTACCCTAACCGGGCCATCCAGCACGAACAGCATGCTGGCTTGGTGCGATTGCCTGGCCCAGCGGCCCACACCTTAGCGGCTAGCTCAAGGTACACCACTTCCATGCCTAGCTCCTTTCCGTGTGCCCCAGCCCCAACACTCGACGCCTCTACACTGAAGCCATTTTTGAGAGAATGAACAGGAAGGGCCAATTTGGGGAGCCGTTTTCAGGTCAATTTCTCATCTTTAAGTCAGTGTCAAGGGCTAGGGAGGGCGGGGCAAAGAGGGAGAAGGAAGCTAGCCGGGGGTCCCCACAAGCTCCCTCCCAGCCACCCCTCACCCAGGGAGGGCCAGGGGCCAGCTCAATTCAGGCCAGCCGAGATCGGGCTCCCAGCGGTGTAGCGCCGCTAAGGAAGACCAGGAAGAGAGCAGAGGGGCACCGGGTGATCCCGGGTGCGAGCGGAGAAGCTGGAGCAGAGCCGGAAGACCAGGGCTGGGAAGAAGGTGCCATTTACCGGGCAGAGTGGACTTCCAGAGGTGGGGAGGCTGCGCCTGCTCTTTGGGGCAGTACATTTGGCCGTTCCAGCCATTGGGCAGCGCCCAGGGCTGGTAGCTTTCCATGGGAAGACCCAGGGGCTCGTGGCGCGACTCGCCGGGGCCCCCGAGGCCCGGCACCACCGGCATATCCAGGTAGCCAGGCACGGGCTGATGGTGGTGGTAAGGCCCGGTCGCGTAGCCCTGGTAGAAGGCGAACTCCTTAGCGCGGGAGCTGAACTCCTCGGCCGCGGGGCCGGCGGTATCCATGTACTTGTCCGCGAAGGCGGCGGCGGCGGCCGAGGCGGGCTGCGCGCACGACTTGATGGCGTTGGGGTGCGGGCCCATGCGGGCGCACGGGTAGTAGCCGCTGCCAAAATAGCCATAGGGCAGCGCTGCGGGCCCCGACGAGCTCTGCGCCGCTGCTGAGCACGGGCTGCATTGCTTGGCGGCCTCAGCGCCCGCCGG